GGAATTGTCAACAGCTGGGTCAGCAGTCTACAGGGAATAGTTTCGATGGACACGAAGTCAGGCGGTCCCACTGGTCACCATACCCTACGTCTTCTAACCCTGGGCCGCGTTTCTAAACGCGACCGTAGCTCAACGACTGCCGTAAGTCTATATTAAAGAATGGAAGCTTTTGTGAAAAGGCGCCAAGGTCCCTGCTGGCTGATCTGTTTGTTTTTGTTTAGGTTACTATGGAAACAGCTTTGTAAACAGATCAACAAAAAGGCATATCTCACCAATGTGACACTTCTTTCATCTTATCGAATATCGAACACTTCGTAACCAATGAAGGCGGGCATGGATATATTCTTGTACATCATCAATACTCAAGTCGAAGACCTGCTGTTACCATGCCCATCGTTATTCATGCTTGTAAACAGAATAATCCCCCTCGTGTCAATACAAACGGAGATGTTTTCATGTGGCGCAGTGCATTGAAAGCATCTGTCCTGTTTCCCAGATAAACTATACATTGACACATCCACCTAAACGATTTATTACCATCGCCATTATGTGCACATGGGAACCGTTTAAAGATATGTCAGCATTATTTGTCATTATTTTGAACGGTTCTTCTCAGACAGCTGACTACATTCTGAAGCCACGATGGCCCAAGTCGGCTTGTCTTCTCTGCTCTGTATGGTTTGGTTCCTCCGGCCAGTTTCTGGATGCAGTGAAAGACAGAAACGCTTCCTGCCAGAGGACCTATGTCCTGGGGATGAATGTTTCTCGGCAGCTGCCGTTGATGTCCTGGGTATTTCGAGCAGGATGGAGTGTGCTGCAGCATGTCAGCTTCATCATACCTGCGTGTCAGCTACCTAACACCGCGAGTGGTGTCAATGAGTGCCGCCTCTATGACATCGTTGCCAATTCCACCTGCGTCAATTCTGTTGCAGGGTGTATCTACATGAAGCTCCGTGATGTAGTTAAGGTACATGTTACAATTTTATTATAGATGTACTCATATCGTAGCTCATCCTCGATTATCCAGTGTATTATGCATCCACTATGTTCTGATGAATGTCCTTGACCCTCCGTCACCATAGCTTAATCTCTGAAGTGAGTGAGTGAGTATGATTTTACGCCTCTTTTAGCAATATTCCAGCAATATCACGGCGGGAGACACCAGAAATGGGTTTCAAACATTGTACTCATATCGGGAATCGAACCCGGGTCTTCGGCGCGACGAGCGAACGCTTTAACCACCAGGCTACCCGACCGCCCCTCATCTCTGAAGTTACGTCAGTACCTCAATCTCTCCAAGCTCGGAAGGGGCTCAGACTGATGCTATGGCAGTGAATGAGTCCAGGATATTTATCATAATAGAATGCACAGATAATTACGGAAACCTTTTATGGCCATTTGTTTGGGTTTTTTTGTTGGTGTGTTTTTTGTTGTTTTTGTTTTGTTTTCGACGCTATCTTGAAATTACAAGATACTATGTTGAAATTTCAAAATAATAAGTTGAAATTTCAAGACACTATTTTAAATTTCAAGATACTAAGTTGAACTTTCAAGATACTATGTTTGTTATGTTGAAATTTCAAGATACATACTAATTATAAGTTGAAATTTCAAGATAACCAACTTGAAATTTCAAGATAGTATCTTGAAATTTCAATTTAGTATCTTGAAATGTTAACGAATCATCTTGAAATTTCAAGAGTGAGTGAGAAGGGTTTTACGCCGCTTTTAGCAATATTCCAGCAATATCACGGCGGGGGACACCAGAAATGGGCTTCACACAATTGTACCCATGTCTGGAATCGAACCCGGGTCTTCGGCGTTACGATCGAACGATTTAACCACAAAGTAAGGATAAGAATTTATGGATGAACAACTTCTTTATTACAATTAAGAGCGACGTTTCGGTGTAGGTTCTAACACCGTTATCAAGCAAGTGTTTTTCAATTTCAAGAACAAAATAAACAAACAAATGGCCCTCAACGGCTTCCGTAGATAATACCAAGGATAATTGTATCTGCACATTAGCCTTTCTCGATATTCAGCGTATTATATTTCTTCAGTCTATTTGGATACATTACTACAGTTTCGTTTGGGAAGTGAGTGAGTTGGGTTTTACGCTGCATTTAGCAATATTCCAGCTACGTATATCAACGCGGGAAATCGGTTTGACGCAACGATGACAAAGGTTATGTCCGATACAATTTCCTATAGTGATTTGTACCATTTGTGCCCGTGTTTGATAAGGTCAACAGTTTACTTTCATTTGCATTTTTTTTAAAGTTTGTGACGGTTGCCACCGATGGGGCAAGATACGCTCAACTATTTTGCGAACAACCAGTGTCATCACTCACCCATAGTGATTCATAAACACTTACTCATGATATAGTCGGAGTCGTACAATCGACTCTGCTTTAAGCAGAAATATTTTATGGATAAGGAAAGGATTTTGTCACTTTTATTGTTTGTTTGTTTCTTTCTTTGTGGTTTAATGCTGTACTCAGCAATATTCCAGCTGTATGACGGCGGTCTGTAAATAATCGAGTCCTGACCAGACAATCCAGTGATTGCACGATGACATACATCAACCAAGTCAGCGGTCCTGACCACCCGATCCCGCATAGTCGCCTTTTACGGCAAGCCTGGGTTCCTTAAGGTCTTTTCTACCCCAGATCTTCACGGGTCCGCTTTTATTGACACATTGTTACCATGTGGGCAATCGGAACAGGGTCTTCGGCTACCCCACCGCCCCCGTTTTGGAAGTTGCATCAAGCACCCGTCTCATATCTTACCACGCAGGCGGTCGGGTAGCCTAGTGGTTAAAGCGTTCGCTCGTCACGCTGAAGACCCGGGTTCGATTCCCGACATGGGTACAATGTGTGAAGCCCATTTCTGGTGTCCCCCCGCCGTGATATTGCTGGAATATTGCTAAAAGCGGCGTAAAACCATACTCACTTACTCATCTTACCACGCAATTCCCCTCAGATGCGTTTCAAATTAACAACCAATCAAAAGGACTTTTCTAAACGAGAATTCGACATAGGTCTGTACAGTCAATCGCTTGCAAGCGATCTAGACCGATTCTCCTCACAACGGGGCGCTAACTGTCAGCCGCCTGCAATCGCACTGATCGTTGACTGGGGTCACTTCGTTCTCAAGCCAATATGGCGTCTGAGGTCGACAGCAAGAAGTTCTTGACTGTATCAACTTGGAAATGGGCAAAGGCCAGCACTTTCAGTCGGCTCCATATCTTTAAAGTAGTCATAAATGCATCGGCTCGTCATCGAGCCCCTTCTATGACGTTCTTCATTAGAGCAAGACAACCAAGCGGCATTCGCGCCGCCATTTTGGAAGAGTGCGCAAGCGTTTCGAGCTGTTGCAGAGCCTGCGATGAGCGATTAATTTGCTTACTCAAAGTGATTCTTGGATTGCAAAGCGCCCCAGATGTTGTAATACCAAACTTACGTCCACCATATGGGTTCCATAATCCAACAACACGTAATCTGATTGGTCGGCTATTTTCAGCAATGAATCCAACCCAAGATGAAGCTGTGCAAGCGAATGCTTTCGGGGAATTGTCCTTACAGAACTGAATCAGTTGATTTATACCGTGATTATGTCAGTGAGTTGGTGAGTTGGGTTTAACGCCGCTTTGAACAGTATTCCAGTTATATCACGGCTTGCCAGCTTAATGTGGGAGGAAAGCCCGAAGTGATGCAGGTCTCAGACGTTTACCACTTCGGTGAAACCCACGAGCACGGGTATGGTGCTGACTCACCTGGAAACATAATCGGGACGAACCGGGATTCGAACCCACAATCATTGGGTTCTTTCGTGCCCAAGGGATGCAGCTCTTCACATCGAATTGCGGCGCCTTAGGCGACTGGGGTGACGTCGGTACGGGTGACGGGGACGCGTCGTTAATCTTGGCAAGGTCAGGGGGTGATGTCGGTACTGGTGACGAGGCGACATCTGTACCGGTGACGGGGTGGCGTCGATACTGTTGGCAAGGTCAGGGGGTGATGTCGGTACTGGTGACGAGGCGACGTTGGTACTGTGACGAGGTGACGACGGTCCTGGTGACGACGGTAATGGTGACGAGGTGGCGACGGTAATGGCGACGAGGTGGCGACGGTAATTGCGACGAGGTGGCGACGGCGCTAGTGACGAGGTGACATCAGTACCAATGACGAGGTGACGTCGGTCCTGGTGACGACGGTAATGGTGACGAGGTGGCGACGGTAATGGCGACGAGGTGGCGACGGTAATTGCGACGAGGTGGCGACGGCGCTAGTGACGAGGTGACATCAGTACCAATGACGAGGTGACGTCGATACAGTTGACGAGGTGACGAAGGTACTGGTGACGTCGGTACTGGTGAAAGGTTGACGTCGGTACTGATGACGAAGTGACGTCTGTACTGTTGACGAAGGAAATGGTGATGTCGGTACTGGTGACGGGGTTGCGTCGATACTGTTGGCAAGGTCAGGGGGTGACGTCGGTGTTGGTGACGAGGTTACGTTGGCACTGTGACGAGGTGACGACGGTAGTGGTGACGAGGTGACGTCGATGCAGGTGATGCGGTGACGAGGTGACGTCGGTACTGGTGACGAGGTGACGTCGTCACTGTGACGAGACGACGTCGATACTGTTGACAAGGTGAGGGGTGACGTTGGTGCTGGTGACGAGGTGACGTTAGCACTGTGACGAGGTGACGACCGTTATGGTGACGAGGTGGCGAGGGCACTAGTGACGAGGTGACATCGGTACGGGTGACGAGGTGACGTCGGTACTGGTGACGTCGATACTGTTGACGAAGGTGCTGGTGACATCGGTTCTGGTGACGTCGATACTGTTGACGAAGGTGCTGGTGACGAGGTGACGTTGGTACTGATGAGGAAAATGGTACAGGATCCTACTCCACCCTGGAATTTCAACTGCCAAGCTTTGCATCAAGTGTTTCTGTTTGTTTCAGCAAACTCTCTGCCCATCTGGTCAAGCGTTGGGCGATGATGGTCAGTGTGCATGCAGTCCTCCCTGGATGGCCGGAGACAACTGTGACATGTACTACGAAGGTTGGTACTGGGAGGACACATGTTCAGTTGGTTTTAACCCACTGTCAGATACGGGGGCACGGATGGCCCAGTCTTTTAAGCTGCCGCGATTTTCTGTGAGAGTTGCGTCCCTTGGGCACGCCAGAACCTATGATCGTGGGGTCCACCTCCGTGGTCTAGTGGTAGAGCGTCAGCCCGGAGAGCGGTAGGTCCGGGGTTCGATCCCGGCCGCGTCATACCAAAAGACGTTAAAATATGGTACTTGTTGTTACCCTGTCTGGCGCTGGACATTAAGGGGCTAAAAAAAGATCTGGTCGGCTCGGAGTCAGTATACTGTGTCTGAGTGGGGTATTCATGTTAAACTGCGGCATGGTATCTCAGTGAGCTAGCACTATAAATCGGCATCAGTCCGGACTAGTATAAGCACACACATGCACGCGCACACACACACTTCGCTTTATAAGTGCAATAATCTTGAACGCGACATAAAACTGCTACAGGCGTCCGGGAGAACGTTTTAGCGACGCTTGCTTTACTCAAACACAAGGCTGGTCAAGCGCCAGTGGAGACGTGATGCATCGTAAAAACTGTATCGTGATGTCTTCAGAAATACAATTTCTTGCAATATTTATACTACGAGATAGTAAGGCTAATGCTTACGCGCCGGTGGAGCGTAGACAATATCGCTAATACAGATATAACGTATTTGCATGTTGATACTAAAGACAAACACTCATTATTTTTGCAGTAACGATATAACACTTATACACGTTTATTGGTGACTTTCATCAGTTTTGCTATTCATTTTAATAACTTTGTTTTCACATATACAAGTAGCAATACCCGACTAGCCTGTCATACATACTTATGGGGCAGTTTTCAGTCTAGTACTGACTTATTCTGTTGTTCCTGAACGAAGCTTATTGGCTTGGGTGTTATATCCCGTTTTTCTGGTAATCCTATTATTACTTCATTTTTATCTAATGACACCCTGTTCTCTGGATCATGGCTCCGTGACTATCCATAACAATTAAGATGAACATTCAGATCAAGTACATGAATGAGTTTGTTTTGACGCCACAGTCAATCAAAGACCAATGCTGTGCGGTTTGATTACACACTTCTACCAGGTCGAACATCGTTGATCTTTATTTTCTATCTAAAGAGAATCATAGTCCATATGCTAATCCATCTACGAAAACCATCTCGCTCAAGATGACCTTACTTGTTGTTAGATCCATCATCTATCCCCCCACTGTCACCCCCATGCTCCCCCCTCACACACATACATACACGCACGCACGCACGCACGCACGCACGCACGCACGCACGCACGCACGCACGCACACACACACAACGGACCTAAATAACCTGGACAGGAAATACTGCTGATAGCCTCTGGCCAACACCGCCGCGCTACCACAGAATGTTCGTCCAACTCTGCAGGGGGCATTCTCAGTAGCTTCAAACGCGCTGAAATGTTTTCGCCTTGCATCGAAGATGGTTGTCAAGTGAAATCGTATGATATTTGGCTATTTTAGGTCGATATGTCTTTTTGGATTACCCAACAAAGTCAATTCATGGTTACACGGTTGTGAAGAAGCTTTATAACACTTATTAATCTCCATCTCCAATAGAGCTACTCGTACTCACATAAAGTTGTAGTTATTATGTCACTGTTTTATTTCTTTAAAAGTATATTACGTTTTCATCAATAACAATCAAGATGAACATTCAATTTCCGATACAAGTAAATGAATAAGTGTGATTTACGCCACGATCAGTCAAAGACCAACGTTGTCCGGTTTGATGACACACAACCTACCAGGTAGCACATTGTGTTCACCCGATCCCCATTTAAATCTCCTCTGTGGGTATTCCTGGTGCCGAAAAGGCCCCATGTACCTAGGAATCTCATTAATACATTCATGTGCGCCATTCTCTACCGTAAGAAGGTCATAGCTAACATGCTTATCCAACTCGAACTACCATCCCGCTCAAGATGAATGTTTAATGTGATATACAACAGGCCCACATTCTAAACACACACACACACACACACACACACACACACACACACACACACACACACACACACACACACACACACACACACACACATGTTGAGTTACCAATCCCTGAATTGAGAAGACGTGCGTTGCGAAACTCCTCCAAGTCGTCAGCAATATCCGTAAATGTCAGTGATATTATTACCTATCAAAAGCCGAATATACATTTATTGTGCTTTCTTGACAACAACTGTTATAATTGGGATAACACTTTCTCGGTAAAGTACAGATTCTCCCACTTTTTTAGGTTGAGCCCTGTCCGGGATTTGAACCCACACTGTAAGTGAGGCACCCTATCGCCAGCACACAAAATCAGCGATCTATCCCAGCCGTCGAGGCTTCCACCAAAAATGTTATATTTGGATAAAACTTTCTCAGACTGAGTAAAGTTCAGATTCTCGTACTTTTTAGGGTTGAGATAATAGACGTTGATGGTTGATTATCAATGGACAAATTAAAGCCAAAACCTTACTTATGAATGATTGGTAATGGGTAATGGACAATGGCCAAACGGGAGACCGGAGTCATTATGACTACACTGCTTGCAACTCAACCAAACCATCCCTTGTTACGTTCCCTCCTTTGCTATCTTTTTACTTTTGTTGTTCCTACAGGTACATATATATGTTCTCTGCCTCATAGCATTTAATAATATTCACCTGATGAAGGAGTAAGTATATACTCCGAAACGTTGTGTTCCTCACAATAAAGACGTTGACATCAGACGTTTTCCCTTATGTGCATCACTTCTTAATGCCCTTCAAAGACTCAATCTAGCTTAGTTTTTAAATGTGGAGATATTTGCGTAGAATATAATATGGTCATGCCTATAAACATTTGGGGCTTTGTCTACATGAGCATTTAGACATAAATTCTATAGCTAACGAAATTGCTAAATCTGCAGGGATGAAGTACACTTTATAGCAAGCTGTGATCTTTATTCACACTTTAGATGTTCGTAATTGAGATCTGTAACTGAAGTTTTTCGTAATTTTCCGCAACTCTCACCTCCTGACCAGTTGAACTACTTAGTGCATTCTGATGTCATTGTAAAATTACAGGCTGCCCGTCTTTCTGTGATGTTTTGACGGATGAAATCTATTGTGTTATAATATTCTCTGTTTGCTGATATTTAATATGTACATATTGTAAAATATTTACGATATTTCAAACGTGTAATTCGATGCATGCAATGCAATGTGAACATGAGTGCGGATGCATGAAGGTGGTTATAAACTGACGTGCAAAAGAAACTTTACCAACTGAAAATATAAATTTCAGACAAGTAGAAATTTTTCTTCGATAAAGGCTATCTAAAACACATAACCTAAATACAACAATAGTGTATGCAGAAAATGTTAATCGTCTGTTACATGTTTGCGAGATAACACGCGAAAAAGTGAAAAACACGTGCACAGCGGACAACTGCAAATACACTGCGGGTATGGGTATAAAACGACTGCAACGGCAAGTCAGACATCCACAGTGATAAATAAAAACATATAAGAAATGTCAAGACTCACAGCCGAACAACGTGAACGAGCCTTGGGTATGGTACAGATGGGAGCCACCCACGCCCATATTGCACGAACCTTCGGTTGCTCCCGTGTTGCCGTTACCAACTTGATGCAACGTTACAGACAGACAGGCAGACCCGGGATGACCACGCCCCATGATGACCGGTACTTGCGTACCTTGCACTTCCGACATCGCTTCCTGACAGTGACGTCATCAGCGACAAATGCCTTAGGTCACAGGGTTAGTCGACAGACAGTGGCCAGGAGACTCAGGGCTCATGGAAATAGGGCTTTTAGACCATACAGAGGACAGCTATTGACAGCGCAACATCGTCGTCTGCGATTGAGAATTGGCCCGGTCTGTACGACGTTGGCAACGATGTGACTGGCAGAGGGTTATCTTCACTGACGAAAGTCGATTCTGTATGTTTAGGGCTGATGGAAGCCAACGTGTTTACTGCCGGAGGGGTGAACGAACGGCGACGTGTTGCGTGCAGGAGGTCGTCCCATATGGTGGAGGGAGTGTCATGGTGTGGGGAGGGATCTGTGGGCAGGAGAGGACACCGGTGGTCATCGTTGACGGAAACTTGACAGCTCAGCGTTACATGGATAACATTCTTCGTCCAGTTGTCCTACCATTTCTCCAACAGCAGCTACGTGGTGTCATTTATCGGCATGACAACGCTAGAGCCCATACAGCCAGAATTGTCACTAACTTCCTGGCAGCCACCAACGTCAACGTCCTGCCATGTCCTGCACGCTCACCCGACATGTCCCCAATAGAACACCTCTGTGCGTCGAGGAGTTTTTGCGTGTATTGAGGCATTTGGTGGTTACACACGCTACTAATGACTTGTTATTCAACGTGAGCGATTGTTTATGTACTCTGCCTTTTGTCCATGATTCTGATAGCTCGAGTTTTGTACCACACCCAACCTGGGGGGGGGGGGGGGGGGGGGCTCTGACGTCATTCCCGGTCGCGGTATGATTGTCATTTTCAGTGTCGATTATATTGATATATTGATCTTCTCAATACACTTTACTTCATGCATGTATGTTTTGTTGTTTTTTAGCAAGAGTGATTTCAAACTCTGGTAAAGTTTCTTTTGGACGTCAGTTTAGTTATAGTTATAGTGCGATGGATGTAGAGGAATGGTAGGAGGGTGCATATGTATTTAAGCACGAATACCGATAGATGAAGGCTGATATAGTTATAGTTCGATGGCTGTTGGGGAATGATGGGAGGATGGATTATGTATCTAAGCATGCGCATAGATCAATGGTGGCTGACGTAGACATAATGAGATGATTGTAGGGATATAGTTGGGAAAGATGTGTGTGTAAGTGCGTGCGTGCATGCGTGCATGCGTGCATGCGTGCGTTGTGATACGAGGGTTGGCGAACATGTAGTGAGATGATTGTGTAAGTTAAATGG